CACTACAACATCAAGTTGAGCACTTTTGTTATATTTCGTACCTTGCATTGCACAACTTCGTCAATATTTACTTGCCAACCCCTCAGCTGATATGCCTCTTTCACTTCTTCGCATGTGTTGCAACAACTAAAAACAATTGATAGATAAAAGTCACAGTTGTATCAGCAACCAGGCACCCACCTTCCCTCGGGAAGCGCACCATAGCAACTGCCACATTTCGGCGTTGTAACGGCCTCAACGGCTGTGTTGTTTTGATTAACCTCTAAATGAATAGGCTATCTGTTAAAAAAAGTGTAAAAAGCGTATTCGTAAATAATAATTCTCTCACCAATCTTCTGTACATCGTCCGTAACGTTTTGACCATGGCTGTCCAAGCGTAGTTTGAAAACATCATTTTGCACGTTGTCCTGATTTTCGCTGCTAACATCCATTACGTCTACAGTAATGACTGAACACAAATCACATTACTGATAACGTTATCATTTCAGCTTAATATTCAATTGTTCTCACTACAGTTTAGAGTCTTGTGCTAAAGTGAGAAAGACCTCAAAACTATGATATCCATAATGTGAAGTAAACATCTTCCAAACGGTCAAGACCTCCCTCTAATCTTGATACTTTGCTAAGACTGAAAGAGAAAAAAGGTTGCAAGAATTTACTTCGTCAGCAAGTGATACAATGAGGTCTCAGCTTTCACTGAATGCAAAATATTTTGAGATGCGGACATGGAGCTAACTGAACTACGTTAATTCTCCCAGTATCTGGGTATCTGATAATGAGAGGTAATTTGATAACTTGTTTTGTGGTAGTAAAAAATGAGTAAGTACTTAAATATTCCCTATTCGTTGTAAATCTTCTCCCCATTCTATTGATTGTAAAAAAAATTTAAAAATCAATCAGTGAGGAACACCGGGAAACTCACATGCACAAGGTAACCTATGGAAAGTGACGTCAAAATGTACATCTAGTCGAACGTCCGAAGAAGTAGAATCCACATATAACTGCTCTACAACGTCACCAGCAAGAAAATGACTAGTTTCTTGAATCGCTAAGAGAATAATCACAACTGATGCTATCACGGACACTAAAAATTCACAATCTACCAGCCTGAACTTACTGCTCAATTAACTGCTATGTAAAATGCATACCCATTCCTCCACTAAGGGTTTTGACCCTAAAATCTTCCATCGGTTTCGTGTATGCATCGAACTCTCGCAATCTTGTGAATATTGACATAAACTACCTAGATTCTGATCAACTCATTTCAAGTTTCATTGCAATGTGAAACTTTTTTAGAGAAGTAGGTTTAGAGAAAAAGCTTGGGTGGTGATCTGCCGCATATGAAGA